ATCGGGCGATACGTTTTGAGGTAATGTACTGTAATTTCTCGCCATTGGTGATACATATCTATAAAAATATGCACCATAAAATGTGCATAAACCGGAAAGTACTTTACAAGGGGAAGGTACTATACGGTAATGTTGTTTTTAATAATATGAGATCAATTATTACTATGTATACCTTATTTTTTTTATTGAAAAAAAGTGTAATAATAAATGTAACTACAAATAAATTTTATAAACTACTTTCTTTGATTTACGTTTATTGTAATAATCACGCTTTCTCATTTATTTTTTCAGGATCCTCCTACTGAGGCACGATTTAACCTTGAAGGATAGATTTCTTGTATAAAAGTAGGACAATGGTTCCTTTTACTCGCAATGCATAAGAAAAAAGCAAAAAAATCCAGCAATAGCATTAATAATCTAATAATTTAATTCTCAAATCTACTAATACAGCAAATTATCCTAAAAAAATATCGCACTCATTATCTTCGCAAAAATTACCTGGCATGTGGTCCTTGCGATCACGTTCACATGTTTATGGACTAATAACTGCCAGCTTCTTCGGAAATTTTCGCATATAATGCAGGCATTTTCCGAATGAATATATGACCGAATTTAACGATGCCAGAATTACCGCATACAATAACGTGTATGCTTTGAAATTTTCTACATGCATGTAGAAAAACATAATCAGTCAAAATCCACGTTTTTTTTAGTTCCGGAAAACCACAAATTATAAAATTTCCGGATTATAAACAGGAAAAACGAGGACGCGACCACATGTTCAATCCAGATAAATAACACCGTTTGATTCGTCTAGTCTTGACGAATCAAATGGTGTATTTTTTATCTGTATTGAACATGTGGATCACGAAATACATGTACATGTACATGTATATCGATATTAATAACAAGATTATTATTATTTTGAGACTATTCATTTTAAAATTTGATATTTTTTATACTATAACATTACGTTGAAAAATTAAGCCTCCAGAGATCTTTACTGTGGCTCCCTTGCTTACATAAAACATAATAGAATTTGAAGCTTCTACTCGGTGCATACATTTCTTGTTTACATAATGAAAATAATAAAATTTGAAATGCTATAATTTATTTATTTTTAGAATTTATTATGTATTGGACTTTTTGAGTAAAAATTCCTTGAAACGAATGCAAAATGCATAGATGTATAAATCATAAATATGCATGTAAAGGTACATGTATTAACGGAAATACATGTACTTTGTTCATTACGATTAATTTACAATAAACTTTGTTTTTTTTGAAGAAATTATTTGTCAACATAAATGTCCAAAAATATTATAATCAAATCAAGGAACAGAATTTACAGCACAAATAATAGAAGAACTTACTGATAAATTTAGTAATTACATGTACTGTGCTAAAGATTTGCAGAAAACATTTTTGTGTTTCCAGAAATTAGTAGTGTCAAACAATATTAATACTCTATATTCTCAGCATTTTCTTGCAGAATGTTATTTTCAAGGAAGTGAAACAAATAGAAACGAGAAAAAGCATTTGAATGGTATTTAAGATCTGCTGAATCTGTGCTGAATATCTTACAATTCAAAGTGGCTGAATGTTATCAATATGGATTCGGAATTTTGAAAGAATCGACATGGCATTAAAGTGGTATCAAAAAACGCATTAAACTGGTCATGATCGAACAGGGGAGCTGGTTGAGTCATTTAATTTTGAAAAATGTATTCTTATTTTTGAATTGTATAGACATATTATTTTAACTTTAGTAAATTCGAAGTTTACTTATATTTCGTAGATAATTGTGAATTATTTAGGGTTACTACATGTTTTTTAGCATATCTGAATTCGTATATTTAATATAGAAATTCCAAATTGTGATGATTTTATATATTTTTGCTTACAATATAGTCAGGGCTCGATTTAACGACTATGCGATTTATGAAATCGCAAGTTAATGACTCTTTGTTCCAGATCATTACGTATATCGAAATCGCGCTCAATTTAGTAATGTACATGTATTAGCGTTAGTATTATCTCGATTTAGCATTTTGACGATAGTATCTTGAAGTTTGATTGCTGATTCATCGGTAAATCGTGCCCTGGCCGTATAATAAAATCAGTAAAAGTAATGTTTGACCAAAGTATTATTAAAATATCAGTAAAATCGTTGTATTAATTGAAGTTTTTATATGGCGTCCGTTATGTATAAAGTTTATGTATCGTTATAAATGAACTTGGTGATATATTTCATTCTTCAATAGAACTTCCATCATGTGTGTAAAGCGATTTTGTGAATAACAAATTATTAACGTTGGCATTAATATAGAATATAGGCGAAAGTTACTATAATGTAAACTCAAAAAAAAATAATGTCGATACTTAGTATTAATACTGCATATAACGAAAACTATGTATCAAAGTTTTGTTTGAACTGACTTTTATGAAATTATACAATGAACCAATTTATCTTGTTTTTTTATTTGCTAAATGACTTCGTGCAGGAACCAATTTAAATAAGGATTTATCTTCGAATCTAATACCTTTGTCTTCTTTAGCTTTACCCGATCCAAAACTCCAAAGAAGAACAAATTAGTTGCAGCACTAGCAATTGCTGTATCAGTTTTGAACGTATTAAAGCAACTTGTGACTTAAAATTGTAAAAGCTTGCATCGATCCTAATTCCTGCACCAACACCTAAAGTTTGTAGATATTTACGTGTTATAGAAAGAAATTTTTTAAAGGTGAATGTACCTGAACGAGGTTTAAATAGAAGGTCAACTATAATTTTCTTATATGCGTGTGCATTTTTATTAAATTTATTAGAAAATAATTACATAATTGCAGAACTCTAAAAAAACGGGTATATGGGCTCAATATATATTTGCTATTGTTACTGGTAGATTGTAATTAGACGTAATCAACGATTTTACCTGCAACAATGGATTGGGAGGGTGAATAGACTGAGTAGTGTTCGTTAATTGCTAATCCCTGTGCCGATATCTATGGATATCGTTCAGTGTGACGGTAGAGAGGGGAATTTGGAGAGTTCGGATTTTTAGATGAGGTGGTTTTGGGTTTTATATTTTTTACGTGACGGGTTTATCGTTGCTTTTTCTAGCTAAAAGCCTAAAACTATTCAATCAATAAAGCGCTTTTCAATCAATCAACCATTCAATCAAGATCCCGTTAACAATATCAATAACAATGCCTTTTCTGTATTAAAGGACCTAACTACCATCAATTAAAACAATTTTACAAGTCAATTTACTTGAAGCAATCAAGTTCTGAATTTTTATTAACGTCCGTGAGGACTATATACATCTTTTTGTCTGGACATAATGCACTCTATTGTTTAAGAGAGATTAAAAACAAAAGCGAATAAAAATAGACTGCCGAAATCGGGCCAAACGGGTTTTTACCAAAATTGGATTAACGAAATTATCCCTAACCCTCCCCGGTAACACTATTTCGCAAATAACGAGACCTGACTTTGGACAAAATGGGATTCTAGATTAATTTTTAAATCTCATAAAGAAATAGTTATTCCATATTAAAGTATTAAATAATTGAAAAGTTAGCAATCACGAAAATATAACCTTTCCTTTCGACAAACCCAATAGCAAAAGAAAAATTTCCAAGGCATTTAATTGACCTATTACAGTCACTCCTGCTATAGTCACACCCGCATTTGTCACAATCTCATTATAGTCACCTTAATTTTCTACCCGATCCCGTAATAGGCACATAGAATGCCTGACTGGATCATGTGACCATAGCGGGAGTAGACTATATTTTTTTCTGGAAATCTTCGAAGAAATATAGAATTTTGATTAAATTAATTCTCATCACAAAAATCGGAATCTTAAGTTTCAAATTCTGATAAAATGAAGTATACTGTACGTAAAATAAAAACAAAACTATGCTACTGAATTCATGCTTTGTATTATTATCACGCACATATCTGCGTGAAAATACTATATATTAACTTTTTGGTCAATTCTATCCACTTGACCAAAAATAAGAATATACTTTAAAAACACATTAAATCAATTACAAGACACTCTCGATATAGTGAAGTCATCGAGCCCAGACTATTTCTTCATCATATCAAGAGGTTTACTATAACAAGAGCTCTTAAGATAGTAAATATATTTAGAAATCTGAATCTTTATTATACATATCAAGAGAAATTACTTGTAACGAAGGGATGGGAAAAGGAAAGCTAGTTAAAATAGGGCAACAAGCATTATAAGTGTGATTATAGCGAAGCAATACTAAGCGAAAAAAGAAAATTTTTTAACAATGTTCTTATGTGCTTGCAATCTAATTGATCAACAAATTTTCACGTGATTAATCTTTACTATATCGAGATATTTTTATTATACTTTCTGAGAAAAGCTTCACTATAGCTTATCGTTATACCAAGTGAAGATACATTAGTGATGGTTTTGTTCTAAACAATTCTTCACTATAAGCCAATCTTCACTATATCAAGAGTTCACTAACGAGAGTGCCTTGTACGTATAGGGATTCATACAATCATGTACACAATCAAGTCTGCCTTAACGAGCGAAGATTGCAGAAATTGAGTTTTCTAAAACTGGTGCATTATAAAAACGCCCAATTTAACGAAGTGCTATTGCTATAGAAAAAAGTTAGAATAGATCAACGATAACAATTCTAAGAAGAAAAAGGCAATAACCTGCAAGGGACCAGAAAATGTAACATACATAAATGACGATTGTTTATATGGGAGATGACGGAGTATTGTCGTTAGCGTTATAATCAGCGATACGTATCGGTATTGGTATATCAATTTAAAGTACATGCAAATACGTACCTACGTACTTTGTTCAATTCAGGCACGTATTCGCACACCAATTTTACTGTATAAGCTTAGCGTTATAGTTACATTTTTTCCCAAGTACAATTACAGTATATAAATAACGAAGTTGTTCTCTAATTTGAACTTGAATTCTTTTATATTTTTTACCAATATGACAAGAGGACCATCTTTTGGATTGTGTAATTATTAATACATAATATTGATAATGTTTCTGCATTTATTCATATTTCTCAAATAATTTATACATCTAATAGGCTTCGCTCCTTGGCCAAGAAAATTTTTGGCAAAAGACGCATCTATTGAGTGGTTAGATGCTACTGATGCTTTGTACTGGAAAACGGAAGAAAATAATGAAAGGTTTGTTGATTAATAATCACCTAATTTATATAACTATAAATAAAAACAATAACATATCGATATAAAAATAGTTATACGGGTAAAATCGTGACACTGTATCAAGTGTGTTTCTTTGACGTAAGTAAAATATACTGCAATAACTAATACATTCTAAAAATCCAAGTGTTGACTCTGAATTTTTTTATTTATTCTGAATAAATAGGTACAAACCACGTTCAATAAAGTTGCACCTGGAATATACGACGTCATCTGGCGTCTGAAAGTTCACCCAGAACATGAAGGACTCGTCGGTCTGAAATTCAGTGTAGAAGTCACCGAAAAGGTGTTAATCTATTCTTAATTGCAATATAATGCGCGTACTTGCTTCTAACCAAGCGAAAATCGCTCCTTTTTTTCAATTTATTTTTCGATACAGGTTAAAAACGCCCCTTCTGGCTTTAAAGGCTACAATAAAACTGAGATTCACGATGCAAATGAAGCTCTATTCAAAGACTTAGCTAGTAAATACCGTTGGGTTGATCTGACGCTTCCGTTTAACTTGGAGATTCCGGAAGAACGATTGATTGGTAGCGAATCCACCTGGTATGATGTCGAAGTGAAGGTTTTTGATCATTCTGGAATTTGGAAGAAGGGTTTGGTGAGCATGTCATTGTAATTATATCTGTTAATTATCTTAATTTCTTTTGCTAATATATATCATATATTTTTTAATTATATTATAGTCTCTTGATTACGTGTGTCTACGACCTTACTAATTACAGTAATTTAAGCACATGATTTCTATTTAGCTGTAATCAATGTTACACCAAAAGTTTTATTTCTAGTTATATACTATGTAAAACTCCCAAAATATATATTTAAGAAAGGCTACGGGCCTCTAAAAAGATCAGAGCTGTTGCTTAAAATTATTCTCCAAGTATATCAAGACTTGTAATTTACTCGTGATAATTGATTGAATTGACTGACGGTGAGAATCCAGAAAAGGCATTGCAAGTAAAGACGTGCGCGTTATAGAGAATAGAACCAATTAGATTGGGAAATTATTAAAAGAAGCATACTTTTTAAATAAACACCTAAATTCCAACGCAAAAGGAGATATCTGTAGATATCGACACAGGCAATACTAATTAACGTTCAAGTCAAAACCGCCATTTACAGGAAGTTCCTCTTCTTATGATTGATTTTATATTAAAAGTATAATAGCCATTAGCATTAATTATATTTTTTGTTATCTCAATAAAAGCTATTATTTTATTAAAGTTCAAATAATGTGTTTTATGATTTTATAGAATAACCAAATTTAATAACAAATAAATATTTCATTTTCAAAATTATGTAATAATCATAAAATTATCTTTTTTTGATAACAAACTAAAAATTATATCAAATTTTATAAAATGCTAGACACAAAATAAAAATTATATCAATTTTTTTCAAATTTTTTAAAATGCTGGACACAAATAAATAAATTTGTAATCTAGGATTAAAAACAATTATATATATTTAAAATAAAATAAATCCATGTAAAACTATATTAATTAGAGTTATATATTATAATATATTTAATATAATTTAAAGATCGTAACTTTTTGCTTTAAAATTATAATTTTTATTATCTATTAATGAGTAATATATATAATAAATTGTAATAATAAGATATAATAATAATATTTTGTGATTTTTATATTTTATTCTATATGTGTTATAGCATTATGATAGTTATTTATTAAGTATATAGAAATAAGATAATAAATACAAAATTTAAGAATATATTTCTGTTACTATTACTATTAATTTGGGAATTATGCATTATAGTATTATAGTACTATTTTATAAACTTATTGTCTATTAAATAGTAAATATTTTAGTATCAATTGTATAATTTTCAAAATAATATTTATATTACTAATTATATTTAAATAAAATTATAATATATTAATTATTAATTCTAAATTCTAAATTCTAAATTAAAATCTTAATAAATTTATATTAATATAAATTAAAGTTATTTTAATAACAGAATTATTAAATAATATTATCATATTATAATACAAAATCTCGAATTTAATAATAGTAGAAACTAAAAAATAATCTTAAAAATTTTAGAATATATTATTCTAATTTTTGTAATATTTTAAATATTTTAAAATAATAATATTTTATCAAGATTAAATATTTTAAAATAATAATATTTATCAAGATTAAATAATAATATTTATCAAGATTAAATATTTTAAAATAATAATATTTAATTAGAAAAAGATTTAAAATTGATTTTCTACTGGTTTTTATTAAATTTATCTCAGAATTTTTCAAATTTTTTTTAGATTATAAGATAAAAAAGGAATATTATAATAAAAGAAAATATTATGATAAATTAATAATATCTCAATAACTAGCAATCTGAATCACATGAAATATTATTATGGTAGTAACATAAAAATTATTAATATCAAAAATAGTCAAAAAATATAAAGCATTCAAAAATATTTATATAAAATAAAAAAAATTTTCAAATTATTTCACTTTTTATTTATTTTTTTATTTTTTAAATAATTAATTATTTCACTTTTCATTTTTTATTTCACTTTTTTACTTTTTATATAGTTATTTATTTCACTTAATATACATTTCTCTCAGAAATGAATGGCTGATTTATGTTTAAATTAACATTAAAAATCACAGAAAATGTTTACTTCTCAGAAATTTTTATGTTAATTGTAAATCGATCGACTGAACACCTTTTTATAATATTCTAAAACCGGTTTTTTAATAAAGTATTCGAGATATTAAAGGTTTTTTACAAACGGTTCAGTTAGGGGTTACCATTACCACTAAACAAAACTCAATAATATGAAAACTACAGTATTAAATCAGTTATTGTCACTAAAAAATTTTTTCCCCAATCTATATCTAGCTATTCCAAAAAATCAGCATGAAATACTAATTATTTCTTAAAAAAGTAAAAAAATTAATCTTTCGTAATTTTTAATAAATAAATTATTATATTAATATTAAAAATAGAGAAAAATTATATAAAATATTAATATTTTAGGATATAATGTCTTACTTATATATATTATAAAAATAAAACTTCAAATTATATTATTATAACAAAAATTATAATAAAAAACCGCCGGCCATTACTTTTCTGGGGACTGTATATTTTAGAATCATTGCATGCCAGTTCTTTTAATACTATCCAGAGTTCTGATTTTGCTCATTCAAATAAGTCTAAAAACTTGAAAATGTATGCGACAGTTTCTGAGAACCCTATTTAAAATGTAAGTGTTTTGTGACAATCAATGTCCCCTTTTCTAAATTAGAACTACGTATTACCAATGATGGGATTAGATTAAAATAATAATTATTCTATATAAACTCATACATCCTTAATGCATACACTTGGATCTGATGTTATAACATTTATTTAAAAAGTTTATATTAAAGAGGTTTGACTTAGTAGAGTCAAAATTTTATTAGGAGTGAATATTATATATATTTTACATTAAAAAAATCTTGGTAAAAAATGGCAACTGAAAATTATTTTTCGCAGCAATATCGAACCACTTTTTAGCTTCTTTTTTATCTTTTATGGTTCCAGTACCGAACCTATAACACAAACCAAGGTTATATTGTCCAGTAGCATCACCACCCTCTGCTGATTTCAAATACCACTCAAATGCTTTTTTCTCATCTTTTTGTGTTCCGA